GCTGGGTGCTGGCAGGCTTGCACCTGGCACGGGCACCGTAGCCAGCCCATGCCCCTTTAAGGGGTCCGGGGCCGGGAGGAGGGCAGACGAGTTTCCCTGGTGTTGGCCAGAGTGGCCACCAGGGAAACCTGGGGAGGGCTAGCCTCCCACTAGTTCGAATTAAGGGGCTACACTAATTCGAACTAGTAAATTCGAACTAGGCTTAATCCTCGTGGAATGAGGATTACCTAGTTCGAAGTAAGTGCTCCGTTAGTTCGAATTAAGTTCGAACTAACGGAGCGCTAGTGTAGAGCCTATGAAAGTTAGTGTGAACTAATGTCCGTTAGTTCGTACTAACTTTGTAGTGTAGACATACCCTAACAGTGACTGTTCTCAAACTATTCATGCTCACTGATAATTAGCAACTACACATTTACTATTTAACCCAATAATGATCAAAATTAATGATAGGCCTGAAGCAAAATACTGGATCCACACATGCCCAAATTTTTGGCAGAATTTACAATCTGAACCCAGATCAAGATCTGACTTCTATGGCAGGTCCCATTCTTTATTACAGCCTGAACCAAAGCCCAGGATCAGATCTGGATACTTTTGGGAATACAAGGGAAGGTTGAAATCCATGACTGCATCCAAATTTTGAGAATCAGTCCAATTGAACTAATTTGCTTAAATCTTTTTAATGGCAAGCATTTCAAACTGAACATGACACTGGTGACTGTAGCAACAGCAACAAAGTGAATATAAATGCATAGAGTATTCAATGGTATATTCTGTATTGCAAGGTATATTCATGGTGTTTTCAATAATGTGTTTAATTTTACATGACAGAAGCAAAAGAAAAGCTTACATCAAGACCACACAAACTTTGGTCTTCTGAAAACTACATTGTTTGTACCTAATTAATCTAAAAAGAAGTAGACTGTAGCTGGCCTCATCTTCATTTGGATCTCAAACCAACCGGAGATCCTTTCTGGTGCAGTCACCCATTCCTTTTATTGTCAGTGCCAATTTCCCACCACCTTCTATTTACAGAGCTTTTATTTTCTAGCAGCTAACTCAGCCAGCCTCTCCTTCCAGCTTGGGCACTCAGACACACCCTGGCTCTTCTCCTTGCTCCTACCCTTTCACTGCTCCTCCTACTGCCTTAGATAGCCCACTGGTGAATGAGGACCACAGCTGCTTCCATTAGCCCTTCAGGCTTGGGCTTGCTTAGCTGTCTACAATTGGCCTTTTCAGCCAGACTAGTGGCAGAGTTCTGGCTTAGCCAGCAGTCTGTCACATTACCTAAGAACATTAATTTTGCCCCTCAGTTAACTAGTTTTGCCTCCTCTAATCAATATTGGTCCATACAAATCATTCAGTTCTGCCCCTTTACTAGACTTTGTTCCAAGGTTACTCTACTGCTGCTGCAAATGCCCAAAACGGCTAATCTCCATGGTTCCGATCCATCAAGTCTTTGCACATTTTTGGTACCCCGTACTTACATGACTAATGAAAATGTCACATCTGAAATTGAAGCAGAAAATGTCAGAGGCCTCTGAAAGTCCCAGAATCGATGACTTCTGTGCCAAAAATCTTACCCTTACTAATGATAAGTGGGAAAACATAACGAGAATGTCAGAAAGTAATTGGAATTGAATAAACCTGAAACCAATAGGTACTATTAAAATACACTGGCTCCAAGGGGGTTGGATTAGTAATACAAACTTAGAATATTAGAAATGAAATAAAAGAGTGGGAGAAGAAATACTGCATAAGAGAGCCTTTTTCATATTATTATCACCCATACTCAAGAAATAAAAAAGTATTACTTGCTGGAATCAGCCTGGCAGTAGTTCATACTGGCAAGAAGAGGGAACTGAAAGGAATGAATATTAGAGTAAAATTTCATTAAATTCATGTGTGGGAAAAGTTTCAACCTTGTATCAGAAAAGATGTTATCAGCTAGAAACACAGAGATGACTTCAAACAAGCAGTATTTCAAATAAGTACATACTTTTAGGAATGAATGTTCATCTTCAAAACATTAATGCAAAAAAGTAAGAGATTAACTTGCATGCTTAGCGATTCCCAGAAAGCTTTTCACTCCAGTGTGTGTGAATGTGTATGCTGGGGCAAACCTAAAACCTTTGCTTTCAGGGGTTCTTTCTCATGGTAATTTCCAATTGAATCACTCACTGGGCACATTTGCATGGTAAAAAGATGGGGGAGAGGGTAGGAGTAATCCCAAAACCAGAGAAAGTCATACTGCCAAAACAGTTAAGCCCCGGAATAGCTTTCCAAATAAAATGCTGTTGCCCTATTCGGTGACACTTGAATGAGTCTACAATAAACTAAGGATCAAGTAACAGAAGTCCTTGTTAATATAGAAAAGCATCTTTCAGTTTCTTCAAAGCAATCTCCTTGGGAATAAACTGAAAGGTGAGACTGATGGAAAGCTTTGTCCAGTTTCAGCCCCATGCTTTCTATATTTTTAGAGATGCATTCTACTGTCGCTTCATTGCAAGTTTTGTACTTATTTTCATTTCCTTCAGTAACATGGTGCAAAAGAGGCCTTTGTGTGAATTAATAGATTGTTTTTTAAGGTTCTGTTATGTTGTGACTAACCTCCTACCACAGAGGTTCATTCATGGACTACTTTCACTCCCACTCTCTGAAACCTCATCCCAAATGCCTTTGCTTTGACAGTTAAAACTGTTCAGTTATATGGAAAGCTCAAATTAATACAATACACTATTTTTAAAAATTCCATCAATGCCATGGATGTGGTGGCTACTTGATACATTTCACAGAGCTAAGGTGTTCATAGGCCTGATACTGGTTTATAATCTTCATAATTTATCTTCATCTGTAGGTTATTAAGAGTAGTCATAATGAGGTACAAGGAAGTACATTTATTAAAAAGAAATTCCTGGAATATATTTATTTAATGGTCAAAAGTGCTAATTTTTGGTCATTTCAGGAAACCCAGTTACCCATGATGGAAAGAATCATGTGCAATCAGGGTGTGCATTATAAATATTGCCATTTTTCCCTCTTGAAAAGAGGTAAAATACATCCTGAGTTAAATCCTTCCTTCACTAACATTAGTTAATTGAACAGAAGTAACAAGTAAATTGTGAATTTCTTCAAGTTACTTTGACATACACCAATGGTATCTCAGGACAATACTTTGGTGCCATTACACAATTGCTATAGATGAGCTAGCGCCCCTGACTTTACTCCTAACAGACACATGAGCTATGAATGTTTTCTTTTTAGTAACATGAAAAGAAAAAGCATTCATACAATAAGAATTGTGAGCAGCACAAAACCATGAGAGAGTCTTTTCCTGCATCTGCTGAACTTTCCCTTCTCTAAGAACAATTCCACAGTCTGCCAGGGAGCTTTTGCCAGTGTGTCTGACAAACTGAGAAACACATTCTTGGGCATGTAAAAAATTGAATTTTGCTAGAATGCTCAGAGTATGGATGAAAAATCACAAGATACAGTGCCTCTACTGAGCACCTAGCTACATTGCTTTTTAAATGAAATTATAGATTACATTATGCAGATAGCTGAAGCATTTTATTAAACACACACAAGTCTGTATTTGTGCTCTTTAACAGTAGTCCAAGATCTTCACAAATGTGCGGCTAATATTTCAGCTTTCCTCAGCCAGGCTGTGTTTCTCTCAGGATTCACCACTGAGGCAAGATTACTCTGGATAGGAAATATTTAGGTGCTGCAGTGGTGACTCAGCAGGTGGCAATCTTCCCATTGCCTTAGTATTGAACAGATGCCTCAGCCTGGTGTTTGGGGGCACTCAACTGCTAGAGGTTTTGTCTTCTTGATTAAACATAAAAACCAAGGTCCAGATCACTGTAACTCATCATAGAGCTCGTGACATTTTTTGCAAGAGTACTGCTGCTAACCTCAGTGTCCTTACATTCTAATTTTCCCTTCAATTGCAATTGGATACAATATTATTATTCACTTTCTGCCTAGACACTTTGTCACTATTTAAATTTTTCCATGTGCAGAACAGGAAAATCTGGCAAACAACAGCCAGAATTAACATATTATGAATACACAGAATGAGCCATACCTAGGCTGCCTACAAAAATACAAAGAATAAAAGAATAAAATCTGCTGCTAACAGATCTTCAGGATATTCATAACAATATCTGCAAAAAATAAACATTGCTATCAAAGCAGTTTTTCATTTTGAATACACTCCCAATCAAGAGATGCATAAGTGTGTAGGAGACAGCAGGGTGTTAAAACAGATGAAATGCAAAAGAGTACTAGCACAGATAGAGAGAAAATAAAACTCAACTTACTTTAACTAGTCAGCCACCGATAAGATATTTCTAAAAAGTAGCAATAAATGATACTCTTCTTAGTTTTTGGTGTCTGAAAAACACAATATTACTATGCATATATACACGAAAACAGAATTTTGGGGGAAATTTGGACATACCTGTTTTTGGCTGCATATTTAGATTGAACTTTATATTTAAAGCTGGATATCAACTTTTTTTTTCTTCTCCAAAATGACAGCATTTATTCATTAAGTACAGAATTAATTTTTAGCTAAATCTCCTATTAGTTTAAGAATTAATTCAACCAAAACAGTTTTGGTACCATCTGCACACAGGATTTTAGTGAGTTTAAGTTATATGGGAAGTGTGAAGTATCTTTGGGCATCTCTACGCTAGGGAGTTATTTCGAAATAACACCACTTTTTTCAAAATAACCAGGTGACTGTCCACACTACCAAGACCATTATTTCAAAATAAAGGGCTTGTTATTTTGAAACAACAACTCCTGCTTGTGAAGAGGCATAGTGCTATTTTGAAATTGTTAATTCGGGAGTTATTATTTCAAAATAACTCCCTAGTGAAGACATGCACTAAGTTACTAAGATAATTTGAAACATAAAAGTCTCACATCAAGCACTACGTTTCTTAAAAGGTATCCTTTAACAAAAGATCCTGAAGATAGTTGTTTCTTTTTTAGCCAGAGCAATAGTGTGTGATTGGAATCCACACCTTAAATTCTCTCTTCCTTGTGTTCTCCTTGTGCCTCCTCCACTATATACCCCTGTTTCACCTTCCTTCTGCACCAGAGGCTATGTCTAGACTACAGAATTTTTCCCTGCAAACTCCCCTGCATCCAGGGAACATGTCTGCTCTTCCGCTTTTATTTGTGGAAGAGCAGACACGCTCTTTCAGAAGTCCTGTCTTACTCATATCATGAGGAATAAGGGCTCTTCTGAAGAAGGAGGTGAGTATAGATGGGCCAAATTTCAAAAAAGCCTCTTCCAAAAAAACTATCGGAGAAAGACACACAATTTGCGTACCTTTTTTTGATAAAACATTGTAGTCCTGACATAACCTCTGCTTCTGTGTGCACAGGTTCATGCCAGCTTCCCTCTCCTTGCTGCATCCCTTACATTCTCTTGTCCACACATCCACACATCCCATTTCCCCATTCTCTTCTTTTGCAAAAGGTCAGCATTGGCAAAATATTTAGTATGCTTGATCATTTATGCCATTGTTTATCATAACCAGAGTTACCTTTCTGTATAGGTTGCTATACAAACTCTTCTCCTTCAGAGAAACAAAAAATATCTTCTTTCAAAATGGCCAGGAAAAATGGCAGAGTTGGATGCTCTTTTTCCCCCTCAAAATGTGAGCAGTTTGTAGCTTCTGTCCTAGTAGAGACAATGGAAGATAGCAACCTTTTAAAAAGGGGTCCTTTCCTCTAGAGAACTTTTTTTTCCTTTGCAGCAGAAGCTGAAAAACACTTCCTGCTATGAAAAACAAGGCAAAATCTAATCTGTATTTACTAATCAGTTTAATCTAATCTGAGGCCACAAACACAACAATGCTTTAACAAATGTATGGTAATTGACAGGTACCACTGCAGGGCATTTAAAATTGTTTGGGTATGGTAACTTTTGATAAAAATGCTCATTTCTCCATTCTTCCCAAAGGGGAACCTGAGGTTCTCCTGTCCCAAACATTTGTGGAGCAGTGTTGTGTGCTATTAGGACCTTATACAACACACACTGAAGTCAATGGGAGTCTTTGAATCCAATGAGCTTCAATTAGAATCCTTTTACATTGGTCCTTCATTTCAGTGGTGAGTAGTGTAATAAAGACCAATTTTAGCATACAAATAAGCATACCCTGACTTTTAAAGGTGCTGAGTATCCACTGTTTTCATTTATGTCAACAAGAGCTGCAGATGCTCAGCACTACTGAGAATTAGAGTACATATTTAAGGCTAAGATTTAAGGCACTTGAATATCTAAACATCCATTTTAGTTCCTAATGTTAGGCACTCTATTTTGTAAATACTGGTCCCATTGTTCATCATGTAGGGAATTCTTTGGATAAAAGGAACCCTACCATGGTAAGAAATTATTATTTTTCTTCCCCTAATGCTATATAATCAATGGGAGACAAAACTTCTGTGAGAAAATCTCTGGCTTCTAAAAGATTAATACTGATTAAGGAGAAAAGCAAAAACATATTCTGCATTCACCTACAAATGCTTTTAAAAACAGGAGAAGAAGGGGAAATTTACTCATGATGAAATAAATATTTTCATCTTTCCATGGTAACATTTTCTGAATCTTTACACTGAAAACATACTATAATGCTCACTCTTCCCACTGAAGACTCTAAGGAAGGAAAATAAATCATCAGAGTGTAAATAATTTCCCTTCTTTAATGGTAATTGTTTCCCCATATTAAAACTCAGTACTTGCTTTACTTTTGGTACATTGAAAACCAACTAAAATACAAATAAAAATGAAATGTACGTACTGTAAACTGTTGACTCATGATCTTCACTGGCTACCTACCTGTTTTCTTGGTGGTATTATTCAAGATGTTGGTCTTAGGTGTGGTCTGCATTACAAAGATAGGCTGACAAAAGTTGCCCTGCATTGACCTATTTGTGTGTACTTAGCTCAGGTTTGTCTGACACCTATGTATGCACCCAATTAATGACACAGTAAGACTACCCCCAAATAGCACTGAGATATGGTCAACCTAACAGGTCAATTGTAGAGTGCAATTGTAGACAATGCATTTTCTATATTGACACTAACAATCTCCCAGCTGCTGAATGTACAGCAATATTCAAAGTCCCCAGGACTTGTAAGTGCACAGCACCACATAACTTATAGCTTTAACAAAACACCCATTCATACGTAGCAATGCTCAGCATCACCACATAATTTGTAGATTAATTAAAATAGTTAAACACAGTCCAATAATGTGGCTGACAATTAAAATACTCTTTCAAAACCTCCAGCAATAGTATAGCCCCATGTCAGCCATCACAGGTAAGCATATGCCACATAATACAAATTCCTGACAGACAAAAGAACGGATCTAACCTATATTCATATCAGAACACATTAGCATTCACTTGTGCTAAGCTATGTTCCAAAGTACCCTGCAATAGAACAACTCGGCATCAGGCATAAGCAAATAGGCACCAGAGGGCAGAGGAGAGAGGCAGAGGTGTTAGGAGAGGGGATACATTGCAAAAAACTTCCCAGAAAGCACTGCACTAAACAGTGGTGTGTGATACACTCAGATACCAACCTCTGGTAAACCACACTTTGCAACTGCACAAAAACTCTTGCTGAGTATGACCAGAGTCATAAGCAGCAAAATATGCTTACACACAAGCAATGTATCAACTTCAATACAAATTACATCAGCATAAAGCTACTGAAGTTTATAGTGTAGACAGCAAACAAAGCACAATATGGTTTCCGATAAACCTATCAACCTGAGATATACCTACATAAAGCCATGTCTTCATCCCTTCTCCCTCCCCGCTCCTCCCCCCAGCCCCAACTTGCCCTGTATGTGTTCCAGGCTACAATCATTTGTACTGGACTCTAAGAATCCAAACCTACATGCATTTATAATCCCATGCCATTTGAAAATATGACACCTTTTTATCTCCACTTGATCAAGGGTAAAGCACAAATATTTGTAGTTTGTGTCAAACAGGTATGAAATGTCTACTAGCCATTTCACATGCGTTAACTACCACAAGTCAATTGGATTAGTTAAATCAAGATATATTCTAATACAGATATCTCCACAGTGGGACATTTTCAAATGATTAGTGGTTGATTCCAAGGAATAAATTCAAATTTGCATCTTCTTTAAAAGTGTATACAAATCTAATCATTTTTCCTGCAGGATGGATCTTTAAACTGAAACAGAAGAACATTGCTGAGAATTTTGTGGGGGACAGTTGAGAGCAGGGATTATCTGAACTACAGTTTAGATTATCCAGACATCGTTGGAGACACAAAGTTAGAGTTTAACAGACTTCACTTTAATCAATACACATAAGAACTTATTTGAGACTTCTAAGTGTATTTGAATCATTGAGATTCAAATCATTTGTCATTATAAATACAGTTTCTTTTTTACAGATACAGATAAAACCAGGAGGATCAGGTTGATGTATCTAACATGATTAATATCCTGCAAGTGCATTAGGACTTCAGGAAATAATGGTCCTCAGTCCTTCCCACTTTCAGTTTTTCTGTATTTAGGTATCATCAAGTGCAACCAGACGTGAAAAGAAAATGAATTTTCTACAAGCTGGTAGCAATGTGAGTGGCTTTGATATAAGTGGAACAAGGGTCAGTAACTTTCTAAGCTCCAGCAGCCTGATAAGAATATTAAGTGTAGCGTTTATCCCCAATGAGTGCTTGATTAGCCATACAGCACTCTGCTGACAGAGTTCACTAAAAATACATTATGATAATCACACTAGTGTGCCAGCAAAGCTGGAGAGACCTGAGTCTCAACATAAGGGATGAGACATTATGGTGTTCACCTGACAAACACCTTAATAAAAAGTGCAACATTTTTGTCTTACATGCAATAACACTATTACAAACAGATATCCAAAGGATTGCTTGGAACACACAGGAGATCAACAAGCAAAGTGGGTCTGACACTCACAGCTGCTTCACATTATTTCACTAGTATTTTGCTCTGCCCAATCTAGCACGGTGTGGGCTCCTTCCCACTGAGTAGCCAAATTGTATGCTGAGATTTTCATTGAGCCACTGTAGCATCTGTGTATTTCCTGGGAGGCTATCATTTCCCTCCCTGGCTCTCTTCTAGTATCTCAGTGCTCATTGCTAATAAGACACTTTCTCCCTTTATCAAGAGGCTTTACAGACTGCCTTCTTTTTAAATAGGGCCCTGAATAATGAATACCTTCAGAAACATCCAAATTATATTTTAATAATATCCAATAGTGCACGTTGGGGAAGCAAAAAATCCACTCTCAGGCCAACTCAGAGAAGCTATAATATTGAGAAGAAAACTGTAAATTCCATCCTCTTCACAGTTTTCTCTTCTTCTGATTCAAAGTGGCCCCCACCCGAGAGCCAGACTTGCTTCTGGCCACTTCCTCAATGGCCACAACACAGAGGTGCCCTGGCTGTGTCAGGCTGCAGCTATGTGCTAGGGTTGGCAGAAAGGGGCTCCTGTCCTCTGGTGCAGCAGCTCTGTACTGGGGCTAGTGCAATGGACTCCTTTCCCCTCTCCAGGACAGCTGCACCATCTTTAGGGCTTGAGGAGAGGTATCTCTCCCCACTGTAGTCCTTCAGGGGACTTAATGGAAAGCTGCACGTCCACCCAGCTTAGAAGGAACTTAGGCCACACACCCAGGTCAATAATCATCTCAGCTCTTACCCAGAAATCATACTTTTGCCAATCCTTTAACACCTAACATTTAAAGTTATATTTATAAAAAGAAAGAAGAAAAGAGAAAGGAGAAAGGAGAAAAACAGCATTATATTTATAAAGAGAAAGGAGAAAGGAGAAAAACAGTGAAAGGAATCAAATACGTACAACTGCAAAGTTCTTGGTTCAGGCTTGTAGTAATGATGTAACAAACTGCTGGTTTAAGTCAATCTGGTTAGAATGTTCCCATGATAAAAATCCACAGTCCAGGTTTGAGCAGTAGAGAAACTGGAGCAGGAAAGAGGCAAACTGAAGATGTTTCCGGTGCCTTTTATACCCTTTGGCATATAGAGGGAATGGTCACTGTGGAAAATTACAGTCCACAAGATGGTGTTCAGTCACATGAGCAAATGACCTGTCTACACATGACTCAGTTCTTTACAGGTAAGCCATTGCCCACATGTTAGTTTGAACATTCCCAAAAAGGCTCCTCAATGTGGACTGGCATCTCCCATGGTCCATTGTGAGTCAAGTGCTCCTTGATGGACCATTCAACAATCTTTCCAAGATGTGCTGGCTAAATATGTGGGTGCTATTCCAACAACAAACTTTTGAAAGCAAGTATAGATCCAATATCCAAAACATCAAATACAAAAATGATATATGCATATAAATAGCATAACTATAGCTAGCAAATCATAATCTCTTCATAGTCACCTTACATGCTTCATTTGGTACAAGATTTGCTACAAACATAACAGTGGTTCTAATGAGATCTGCATAGTTATATTTAATCAATGGTATCACAGCTCTATAGCAGATTACTTGGTTGAAGTGTATAGCACAGGAAAGATACAGTATTTGGTTATACAGGCAGTCCCCGGGTTACATGGATCCGACTTACATCGGATCCCTACTTACAAACGGGGTGAGGCAACCCCATACTAACTGCTTCCCCCTAGCAGACCAGGGAGACACGAAGCTAGCACACCCCCCCCCCCCAC